CTTGCTGATATTTCTTTTCTCAACCACTTATTGAGAAAACAACCTCACAACCACTTATTATGAGATTACACAACACCTGTTGTGAAATTTCCTTTTACTTACTACACCACTACACTTTCAATTTTGGGAAGGGAAAGTGTTTACAAGAATGAGTTTTGTGTTCTTTTAGATTGCAAAGATTACAGGTAACTCTCCTACAATGGAGTTTTCATTAAGGAAGTTTTCTCACTTTTTTTTCCTATTACAAAACATATATACAAATATGAAGTGGAAGTCTCTAAAAATTTTAGAGGATGAAGCAATGAAGGAGTTAGCTTGTTAAGCTTATGAAATCTCTCTTTTTCTTTGTTTTTGCTTGCTTCAAAATGTAACCATTGTCTTTCCTTTATAGGCACTCAGTAATAGATCCATTGTAACTTACTTATTCTTTAAGCTTGATGCTAATATCATTGTACTTTTACTTTTTATTTTTGTCAGCCGTTATAGATGAAATGTCTTTTGAGTAAGTCTTCACTTCAGGCCTTCTATAACAAATCTTCAATACAAGCCTTCTAAGAAAAGTTGTTTCAATTGAAGGTTTTTGATCAACAAACTTGAAATAGTAGTATTTTGAACCAAGCCTTCAAGACAAGTCTTTCGAGAAAAAATGTTTCACTTGAAGATTTATAATCAGCAACTTGAGATATTCATTTATTTAGACATTTTTATTTATGCTAATCAACAATCCTTAACAAATATTGAATTTACTTTTAGGATGTCAAGAGGATGTCTTCATAAAACTTGTAGACAAATATGTCATTGATCATTAGGAATTGGTTTCATGTTATTTAAACCTCTATAGCACAAGATATTCCTAAAACTTTGCAACAACATGTTCTGGACAGATCATCATTTTCATATTGCAAACATAATTTGTCCATGATAGAGACCTTATTAGCCCATGAATTCTTCATCAAAGTTGTAGACAAATTCTTTTCTATATTTCCATAGCCACCAAGTTTGGCTAAAACTCATGTCTACAACTCTATATATACTTAAAATGCACTTTGTTAGTGTTGCAACTTAAAATGCAATTTTCATCTTAATTTCCATATTTGTTCATGATCTAGGCTTTTCTAGTGCAAGAATTCTTCATAAAGGTTGTATATAATTATTCTAGTTTTTCATAGCCACAAATTTTGGCTCAATATCATGTCTACAACTAAAGAGATATGCAAAATACAAAAATTATGTTTTGTAGTCAAGATCAACATTATCTACAACTTCTTTTGCAATTTTGTACATAATCTAATCCATATAAGTTTTTAACTTTTTTTTTATGAAGAATGTAGATACTTCTTCAAGCTTTTTATAATCACCAAGATTTTCTCAAATGAACTCCTAGAAATTAAGATATCACACAAATAGACTTCATAGTCTTCTAAAGATTTTCATTATTTAATGCATAATTGAGACATCCATTTTGAGTTCTACATTCTAAAACATCATTTTGATATTTATGTCATATTGATTGTATTTTGTTTGGCTTAAACTTTTTCTTCCCTGTCCACCTTCCAAAAGTCATTTTGAATCAATATTGAGTTTTCCCTAATTAATATTTTGAATACATTAAGTAAACTCATCAGTAGTATAAATACTTAAAAGACATATGAAATTTGTTATAAGATTTTATCATAATTAAAATATAAAGGATTTGGACTCAACAATTTTATTATAAGCTAATTTAAATAAAATAAATTTCTTTAGTACATAAACTCATTTTACTAGTTTCTAGTTTACTCACATAAGCTACTTCAAGTAATTTATGAAAATCAGCTAGTTTATAAACTACTAAATTTTTTTCTTTTTAACCTCATTTATTTATTTAAAAAACTTATTACCTCAAATAATTAAATATATTTTTTACATCATTTTACATTTGCTAGCTAAACTCATTAAACATTTTTAATTTCAAGCTTTATATCATTTTACATTGACTAGACTTTTCTATAAGTATTTTAGTAGAGCTAAATATTTTTTCATAGGTTAAAATTAAGTTATATAAATTACAAAACATACTTTATATAAACTAATATAAGAAAGTTTTTATGATTTAATTTATATATAAGTTTTTAATTTTTAAAAATTTATTCCTAGATTTTTTCACAAGTGTTTGTAAACAAGTTTATTTAAACATATTCTCAATAAGATAATGATAAGTTTTCAAGTTTTTTAGTTTTGAAATTACAACTTATAACTTTTCAATTAGTTTATAACTTGGTTTACACGGTCTGTGTTAGATACTGTTGCTTTCTTATTAGTTTTTTTTTTTTTTCCTGTTTACAAAGTTTCTTATCAGTATAAAATGTTAAAAAGAAAATAAAAACAAATTAATTATATGCGGGCGAGAGGGCGACATAGATATTATGAGTTTTGTGTGCACCATTTTTCTTTTGCAGATAATTCAGCAAGTGTCATAAATATGTGTTCAAACTTATACAACGATTCAATCCCCCATTGGGTGGCCTTGGAAGAAAAGAATAAAACTAACCCATTCCGTCCTTATTATTATCAAATTGAAAAGTCAACTCTCTTAATATTAAATATGTATTTTTATTTTCATATAATATTTATTAAAAATTATTATTAACTCATTTTTAAAAACAATATTTTGATTAAACACAATAAATAATATACAAAATTTATAAAAATAATTAATGATATTTTAAATATTGAGCAAAATATATATTATTAAATTAATAAGAATATTAACAATATATTTATTAAAATAAATAAGTTTTTAAAGTATATAGTATTAAACCATATCAAAACAAGATCTTTTGGTAACTTTTTTTTTAATAATTAGAGATAAAAGGGTACTTTAATTGTTGGAATCCAACTCTAATCATTAACTAAAAAACACAAATATCGAATTATTTGTATTAATAATTTTTTATTATTAACCAATATTTTAAAACACATATTAAAAAACCAATAAGTAATTTTTATTTATTTAAAATTATATTAAAATTACATATGAGAATATATTATTACAATTTTCAATAAATAAAAAACAATTATAATTTTAATTTTTTAATTAATGCTCTAACATTTTCTTTAAAATAATTCAAAGTTTTGAATCCGTCTTAAAATATATCAAATATAGTTTTTAAAATTTAAATTTATCAAATCTAAAAATATTAATTAGTATAATTGATAACAATTTGTATTTCTTAACCAGATTATTTAATATTTCAATCTTGATTTTAAATATAAAATAAATTATATTAAAAATATCATCTTATATTAGTAAAAAAAATTCAATAGTTTAAATAATAGATACTTTATGCACTAATACCATATGATTATATAAAATAAATCCATTAAATCAAAATTCGGACATGTGAGTTGAAGTGATGGGTCCCTCCTTTTTGCTGTGTGTGGTGTATATTGTTCTCACTCAAATTAATTAGCTGCCCATATGGAGTTATATATTTCAATTAATTCAATCCCTACTTAATTAAAATTCAATCATAAAATATATGACTTTACGTTGCTTTATCGTAACTGCGTTATAGCCTTCATTTAGTAACTTTCGAATTTCTGATATTTGTCCTAGGCCGCCAAATTAATACACACATTGAATGCTTCAAGAAAAGTAGGAAAAACTGTGTCGTTATATGGAAATAAATTAAATTTGATTAATCAATGCGAATTTAAAGAATTTTATTTCTTTTAAATAAATTTTTAATTTTGAGTTTTATATTGAAAAAAGTAGGAGAACATAGTTTCTCTTTAATAAATTTATTCAACATAACAAAATGGTTTAATATTAAATAGTAAGAGTTTAAAAAATTATTTTTAGATGTATTGTAATTAGAATATAAAATTGATTCCACTAAAAGTATAAAATAAAATAAAAAGGAAGAAGAAGAAGAAAAAATTGGTGAAATGTCATTTGATGAAATTGACAGAGTGACACGTATTGCAATATCATTAATGCAGTAGGCAAAGGTTGATGAAACGTTAATTGATATCAGATTTTGGAACTGTTAAGACGAAAAGTCAGAAGTCACACCCATACACAATCAATGCCAAATTAGGTGTAGTCATAGGGCTTCTGTCATGTTGGTATCTCATTTAATTGCAATTTGAAGTCGTAACTGTAGCATTATAGTTTAATTAGTACAGTATTTTATTTGAGTTACTACGGGAAATAGATTAATAGAGGCACTCCTTGTTTTCTTTGTATTTTTTTTTAAATAAAAATAATAATAAGAGAGAAGATCGATTAACATTATGTGTTGAACTTTTACACCTATATCTCTTTAAATAAAAGTTTTCAAAGAGTATGAATTTAAGCAATCCAAACATTAAATCATCTTAATATTGTTGTAAAGTTTCTGAAACACGTTTTCAGTTAAAGTTATTTATTTTTAACTAGATAAACAAGTCACCTACAAGATTTCCTAATCGCTTGTTTTAGCTTTGTATGGACAAAACAAGGAAGTTTCGTTGAAAAATCCCCCAACTCAATCAGACTTAAACCACCTGTATCCAATTTGGTGGGAGTTACCTGTAATTTTCATTTAATTATCACAATCTAAAATGCAAAATTTCAAAGTCGAAAATATTCTTAATATAAAATTTGATTTTATATTTAAAAAATTTATATAAGAAACTACGAAAATGAAAATAAAGTGTTTCCTATAATACCTTTTGAAAATGAGAAATAAATTAAAAATAAGATAGTAAGACTCAATTATTCATTTAAAAAGAATTATAAATCCAGAACATTGAATGATATAAAACATCTATATGTATAAACTTTTTCATAAATATTTATAGGAGAGAAAAATAAAAATAAAAAAATAATTTTTTTCATAAGTTAAAAATTAAAATCAACTTAAGTTTAAATTAATTTGTAGAATTTTTTTCATTAACTTCTTTAATATCTTATTTTTAATATATATTAAGTGCTTCTAATATAAGCATACAAATAAGTAGTTTGATTATATTTATTGAGGAGAACCAATCATAGGAAGTGATGTGTAGAAAGTACAAACAGTCCATTTGAAATTATTTAGTTATGGGCAAATGGCAGAAGCCTTGAAGCTTAGACAAACAAATCATTTGGGGGAGTTGATTGTGGAAATTTCCCATCATTTGGGCACACACACTTAGAGTGAGTGATAGGCATGGAGGAAGGGTTGGATGCAGATGAAGTGGTGAGTAGCTTGAGGATGAGTGTTGGATCTTGGAGCAGGAGGAGTTGGGTTTCAGAAAGTGTTTCTGAGATGTGGAGTGCTGCTGCAAATGGTGGTGATGTGTTTGAGAGGAGCAATAGGGTTGGTGATGATGATGATGAAGAGCACCTCAAGTGGGCTGCCATAGAGAGGCTTCCCACTTTTGAGAGGCTAAGGAAAAGCTTGGTCAAAAGGGTCTTAGAAGAAGATAGTGGAACAAGGTTTAACTATGAAGAGGTTGATGTATCCAATCTTGGTGTCCTAAACAAGAGGAAACTCCTTGATTCCATACTAAACACTGTTGAGAATGACAATGAGACCTTTCTCCTTAGGATGAGGGAGAGGATTGATAGGTTCATTATTCTATCTTCTTATATTCTCTTAGTATATCTTAATCTGCACCACAAAATCTTATTCTTGGTTCCATGTCATGTCACCCACTCTTTGTTTATCTCTTTTTTGGTTTTGGTCTTCTGATTTCTCATGTTTGGCCTACCAATTCATATATTAATAGCGTATTTGACCCTGCTTTGGATTATGTTGTGCGATCTAGATGACTTTTTGATTTGGCAGGTTTTTTTTATAAATTAATTAAGTTGTTTTGTTGATTAGGGTGGCAATAGAGATTCCAAAGGTTGAAGTCCGATTCGAGCATTTGTCCGTGGAAGGAGATGCATTTAATGGAAGCAGAGCACTACCAACATTAGTGAACTCCACCATGAATGCGATTGAGGTATTCCTCTCTCTCTCTGATTCAATATCTTATCTTCCTTTACCCACCCAGCTTTTACATCACATAAAAACAACCCACAAGTGATATATTCAAGTCAAATATATGCTAATAAACGTATTTTAAAAAAATATTTACTGTATTAGGATTAACTTATTTGACATTTACTAGTTTACGCGTTCTACCTGTTTCATTTTTTTTTTAAGGTAATGGCTATGCCTTAAAAATATTAATTATATAAATTATTATAATAAAATGATTTCCAACTTAAATGTTTTTATTAAAAGAGTTAGAATGCAGTTACAAATTAACTGAATATTTAGAATAATTATTAACAAATAAGTATATTGTTAAAATCAAATTATCAATTTATTTTTAAAGTTATAAATATTTTAAAATAACTAAAATTATTATTTGCGTTCCAAATCTTTAATCTTTTAAAATTAATGCACACAGATTAAAAAAGTAGTTTGAGACTCTTTAAAACAAATTGCTGATTATAAAAGAACGTAAAATGCTCTTCTTGAAATAATATTAACAATATATAAGAATATATAGGAACACCTCTTTCATCCTTCTATATATTGAGAGAAAAAGAAAGAAATTTACTTATTTAAAAATAAATATCGATAAATTTGTTTTACTCAAAAACTCATTGATGAAGAAAATAATCATCTTCAAAACGGAATTATCCACCTGCTCAAGGTCTTAAAAGCAACATATAATATATAAAATTAAATTGTAATATAATATTTAAATGCTATAATTATTCTAATTTTAAAAAGAACAAATTCCTTGATAAATTCTGTAAATTTAAATAATATTTTAAAAATCATAAATTTTTAAAATAATTTCTGTTGAATCTCCGTTCATTATATCTATTTTGAATTTTGAATTATTTTCCTAATACTTATATTTAACATCAAATTTTAACGATCTAATTGTTGAATTAAAATTTTTCAATATATAGATTAAATATATAAATTTTTAAAAATTTTAAATTTATGTACACACAATTTTAAATAATATTTTAAAGATCATAAATTCCTAAAATAATTTCTCTTAATCTCCACTCATTATATGTATTTTGAGTTTTGAATTATTCTCCAAATTCTCCTAATATTCATAGTTATAAGAATAATTCTTATTTATATATTTTCTTTTTGAAATCTCTAATAATATATTTAGTGATTAAAATGATGGTAAGTAATAAAATTTAAGAAATTAATGATACAATGCTCACAACTTATCAAAATTAAAATAATTGTTTATTCGAAATATTTGAACATTATTTGTTCTAATTCTAACTTTGAGCTGATATAGAAAAGAGTAGGTCTAAAAATTAAAATATTTGAACATTATTTACAACATAAAGAGGAGAGATCTACTTAGTAAGTCTTGTTAGATTTATTTTACTCAATAATTCATGTTTTATATCAAATTTTAATGATTTAATCGTTAACTTAAAAAAATTTAATGCATAGATTAATTTTAAATTTTTAACAAATTTGAAAATCATATAATACTTTGTTATATGTATTCAAATCGTATAAAATGCTTTTATAATTATCCATCAATTTGAATTAATGAATAAAAAAATCAAATAGTTTTTAATTTTTTTTAAAATTTATAAACTTAATTTATGCATTAAGAACTTTGAATTCAATGGAATTATCATTAAAATTTGATGAAGAATATGAGTTATTGAGTAAAATAAACTTAGGTAACCGTACTTTTAGAGTCAATGAATCATTTCTTAATGTATAAATTAAGTTTGCAAAATTTTAAAATTTTTTAAAATTATTTGATACTCTATTTCATTAATTCAAATTGACGAATAATCATAAAAGTATTTTATACATTGATTTAAATTAATGAAATGAAGTATCAAATAATTTTAAATTTTTTAAAATTTTTGCAAACCTAATTTATGTATTAAATTTTTTTAATTCAATAATTAAATTATTAAAATTTGATTTAGAATATGAGTTATTAAATAGAGTAAGTTTACTCTGATTGATTTTTTAATTAATTGTTATTACTACTTTTTATCCTTAAAGAGAAACCAAATCTTGTACCCCATGTTTTGTGGGTTATATATGATCAGATCTGCCATCCAAAAATAATTACAGATGAAGTATAATGAAAAAAAAAAAAAAAATCCTTGAAATCTTAATATAATGTCACTTTACCAAATGAATAGTAACACAGTCAACCTCAACACTTGCAATTCTTCTTGAAAGTGCGTTAAACATAGTTATTTACATTTTTTTATGAGCATTTGTCTAATGATATTTACTTCTTTGTGGCAAACAGAGAATTCTCGGATTAATGAATCTTTTTCCTTCGAAGAAAAGTGTTGTCAAGATACTCCAAGATGCTAGTGGAATTGTCAGGCCAAAAAGGTACTTATTAGAGAGTCTTTTATTAAATGAGAAAAATCTAACAACTATTTTATAATATACTTTTTTCTTAACATTTTTTATTTAAAATTTATTGAAAACAAAAATCATGAGTAAGACTCATTAACCAAAAAAATTAGATCATAAAATTTTATAATTTTTAATCAATAATAAGAAAATATATTTAAAAGAAAGCATTGCAAGAGTGTGATGTTAAAAAATTTATTATTAAAAAGACGTGACATAGTACATTTTATAATATAAAAAGGAGTATGAATTGAGAATGTGCCCTTGAAATTGCTTAGGGGAGGGATAAAGTCTCAATCAAACCTTACCTTATAGCAAACAAGATTTAAAAAAAAAAAAAAAAAAAAAAGTCGTAAGAGTTTAATAACAAATTTTCAATTGTTGATCTTAGTTAAATTCTAAGCAATTCTTTTTTTTTTTTGTGGGTAATGAATATTTTATCTTTGAAACATGATAAATATTTTCTTTTTCTAAAATGCATCAATGTGTTTTTCTAGATAGTTGCTAACTTTTTTTTTTTTTTTCATCTCTTATCGCTGTCTGTTTATTTTTTTCTTCAAATATTTTCCAGATTAACCTTGCTTTTGGGGCCTCCAAGATCAGGGAAAACTACATTGCTGCAAGCACTTGCTGGAAAACTCGATAGGAATTTAAGGGTTGATAATTCTCTTGTTCTATTTTAATAAATAATGCAAATTATATTTATCGTTACGGAGATTAGTAAGAGTAAATTACATTGACATTTTCTGAGATTTCATAAAATTATACAAATACTCTATTTTTTTTAATGTCTATAATAACCTCTTAACAAAAGTCACAATTTAATATTTTTTAAATAACTAAGAAGTTAATATAATATTTAAAAAGTGTTTGTGTGATGATTTTTTAATAATTAAAGAAGTTATTATAAGGATAAAAAAAAGTAAGAAAAGTTTAAGCAATGTCACAAAATCTTAAGAGATGTGGGTGTAAGTATAAATTAGTTCACACACGCACTTAATACATTTTCTCTATATGGGTGTGTATGCATGCTTGTGCATGTATATTTCATTTTGTCCAAATGATAATTGAGCACAATTAAGGATTTTGTTGCATCTAAGCAAAATCGAAATAAAAAAAAAGGAGGAAAACCCACTTCTACCTCATTCGTTGTATCAATACCGGTTACATGTAGAATAGTAATACTTCACATGTTAATGAAATTAAGAAACTGCTTTAGAATTTTATGTTGTGACATAATATTATTTTCTGTTATATCACATGCGAATAATGCTTTCAATTACTCACACATTGTTTTATGTGTTCCACCCATTTCAATCATAATTATGCTAGGAATATGGTGAAGAGGAATGTTAATTATACTCCCTTTATTATTGGTTGAAATTTACTAGAAATTATAAATTTTTGTGAATAAATATAGAGACTCATTGAATGAGAGACAACGTTCACTAAAATTTGTAATAAATTCCAGTTAATAAAAAGTTAAGTGATAAAGAAGTGTTTCTAACATTTTTCATACATGAGTGAATATATGATTTGTTTTCAAATATTGTGATTAAAAATTGCACCCCTCACTTAACAACCATAGACAAGAATTCTAGTGAAATAAACTATAAAAACCAAGTTTTCTAGTTTAGATTATGCATCTTAAAATTTATACACCAACAGGTTTCAGGAAGAGTCACTTACTGTGGTCATGAGTTATCAGAGTTTGTTCCTCAAAGAACATGTGCTTATATTAGTCAACATAATCTTCATCATGGAGAGATGTCAGTTAGAGAGACACTAGACTTTTCTGGACGTTGCTTGGGAGTTGGGACAAGGAATGATCTACTACTAGAATTAATAAAGCGAGAAAAGCAAGCAGGTCTTAAACCAGATCCAGAGATAGATGCGTTTATGAAAGCCACATCAATGACAGGTCAAGAAAAAAGTCTCATTACAGATTATATTCTCAAGGTTTGATTGCTTTATTTCTATTTGATTATTGTCCTTTCAAATGCCATACCATGTTTACTATCATCTGACATATCAAAGAAAATGAACCCAGGTTCTTGGATTGGAAATATGTGCTGACACTTTAGTGGGAGATGAAATGAGGAGGGGAATATCTGGTGGAGAAAAAAAGAGGTTAACTACTGGTATGAAAAATAGTTATAAGAAAATTTCATCTTACTAAAGAGAAAATGTTAAGAGGTTATGTTAAGATATTTGTCTAAGAGGATATATTTATCGAGATGAGAGAGTTATAAGTTATAAAATTATATCTTTATTATTTTTATGGGATTATTTGTACATACAACTTGACAATAGTGAAATATTGTCCGTTTTTAACTTAAGTCTTTAGAGAAAATGTTAATAGGTTATATTATGGTATTTGTCTAAGAAGATATATTTATCAAGAAGAGAATTATAAGGTTATACTTTTATTATTTTTATGGGGTTATTTGAACATATAACTTCACAATAGTGAGATATTATCCATTTTTAACCTAAGCCCTTAGAGAAAATGCTAAAAAAAATGTTAATAGGTTATATTATTGTATTTGTCTAAGAAGATATATTTATCGAGAAGAAAGAATTATAAGGTTATATCTTTATGGAGTTATTTGCACATACAATTTCACAATCGGGAGATACGATGTTTTTGGTCATCTCTTAGAAAGCTTCCTAACCAAAGAAGTATGTGTATGTTTTATAAACTCTTATTTTTCTTCTTATTTTAACGATGTGAGACTTAGTTTGTATCTTAAAAATGTTAGTTCCGTTCAAATACTTATTCCATTTCAAAATCTCCCATTTTTCTAATTCTCAAGCAATGACTTTCATATTATGGATGTAGGTGAAATGTTGGTTGGACCAGCAAAAGTCTTCTTAATGGATGAAATTTCAACTGGTTTGGATAGTTCCACAACCTTCCAAATTATCAAGTTCTTAAGGCAGTTAGTGCATGCCATGGATGTTACAGTGATAGTATCTCTTTTACAACCTGCACCAGAAACATTTGACCTTTTCGATGACTTGATCTTGCTTTCAGAAGGTCACATTCTCTACCAAGGACCTCGTGAAAATGTTCTCAATTTTTTTGAAAGTGTAGGCTTCAAATGCCCTGAAAGGAAAGGAATTGCAGACTTCTTACAAGAGATTACTTCTAGAAAGGACCAAGAGCAATACTGGTTTTCAAAGGACAAACCATACAGTTATATGAGTGTGCCTGAGTTTGTAGATCATTTCAATAATTTTAGCATTGGCCAACAACTTTCCCAAGAGCTTCAAGTTCCCTATGATCGTGCTAAAACTCACCCTGCTGCACTAGTTAAAAATAAATATGGGATCTCAAAACTAGAACTCTTGAAGGCATGTTTCGCAAGAGAATGGCTACTGTTGAAGCGCAGTGCTTTCATATACATATTTAAGACTACTCAGATTTTGATAATGTCTTTGATTACTATGACAACGTTTCTTAGAACAGAAATGAAAAGTGGCCACATTGATGATGGGAGAAAATATTATGGTGCACTATTCTTTAGCCTCACTAATATAATGTTCAATGGAATGGCTGAGCTTGCACTAACTATTTTTAGACTTCCTGTTTTCTTCAAGCAACGAGATTTATTATTTTATCCGGCTTGGGCTTTTGCACTTCCCATATGGATCTTTCGAATCCCTCTCTCTTTGGTGGAGTCAGGATTATGGGTTGTCCTTACTTATTATACTGTAGGGTATGCTCCAGCTGCAAGTAGGTATGTAAGTAAAGTATTTGTTAATTTATATACAAAAATCTATCATTCCAAAAGTTTATATTGCTACATGTAGATATAATATAATTTGTTTTTATTCCTTGAGTGAAAATTAAGAAGTGAATCATTGCATGTTATATATATTTTTGTGTTATATAAAAATCTAAGCTATCATCAATGAGTATTAATTCTACCACCGTCATTGTACTATTAAGTGCATACTTATGTATAACTTTTAACAATTTTGTATTTAAGGAGTAATTTTTTTCAAAGTGTAACTAATTGGCTTACTTCCATAGTTCATTTTTTATTGACATGCAACTGATGCAAGTAACAAACACTTAACTGTATTCAATAATAAGTTTAAACAATTATTACAGATTTTTTCGTCAGTTGTTAGCATTCTTCTGTGTTCATCAAATGGGTTTGTCTCTGTTCCGATTCATTGCTGCTCTTGGAAGAACGCTGGTTGTGGCAAATACGCTTGCTTTCTTTATATTGCTACTTACTTATGTGCTTGGTGGATTCATTGTTGCCAAAGGTGAGCCTTAACTATTCTTTTCCCCTTCACTCAATTGGTAAAATGAAATGCATGACAAAGTAATGCAACTTCAATAACCTCTTTTACAGATAACCTTGATCCCTGGATGAAATGGGGCTATTATGCTTCTCCTATGATGTATGGTCAGAATGCCATTGTCATTAATGAATTCCTTGATAAGAGATGGAGTGTTGTAAGATCTTTAACATGTGGAATTTTTTCTTCTCTATTTCATTTTCTTGTGAAACTATATTCATTTATCTTTTTTTCAGCCCAACATGGATAAAAGAATTCCTGAGCCCACAGTTGGGAAGGCTCTTCTCAAGGCTAGAAGCATGTTTACTGAAGACTATTGGTATTGGATTTGTATTGGTGCTCTCCTAGGCTTTTCTCTGCTTTTCAACATTTGTTTTATATTTGCTCTGACATTTCTCAATCGTAAGCTTTCATACTACATGTTTTTTTTTTTTGGAAAAAGTATGTTTATAGTTACTATAAGATTTTTGAAATTTAGTTCTAGTCCCTGATTTTTTTTTGAACTATTTTGGTTTCTCTAATTTGAAAATGTCTCGCTTTTGATTTTTAAATTAGTTTAAAATAGAACTTAAAAATGATTATCAAGTGTTATCTAAATCATTTTGAAGACCAAAAAAGTTGTGCATTTTAAAATTAGAGACCAAAATATAACAAAATAAATTGAGGGACTAAAATTGAACTTGAGAAATTTTAAAAGGTCTAAAAACATGTTTTAACTTTTCTTTTGTCTGTCTTAAAAACTATCTCTAACAAGATCTTGAATTGCAGCATTTGGAGATTCTAAATCTATTATTCCAGAAGAGGGAAACGAGAAAAAGAAAACTGCTGAAGAGAGTTCTGTTTCAACTGATAAATCATTTGAAAGTACTAAATCTTACCCTTTTTTTTTTCCAATAATATATTATAAAAATTGAGAATTTTTTTTTCATTTTATGTTTCCACTTTATCTCTTGTTCTACAAAGTTTGTATAGGAAATAATGAGTTTTTCTATTATTTTTTTATTCTTACTTTTTGTTTTCATTGTTTATTATATAAGCTTCGAAAAACAAGAAACAAAGTGGAAATATTTTATGTGTCTCATAAAACACACCAACTTACTTGGTTTCATTACTTTCAACAAAATGTGTACTTTGCCTTGCATGGTTTGAAATGAATTTTCTAATGGTGCTCTCCTAGAATTGTCATGTTTTCAACTTTATTTTCTGCTTGAATGTGTAAATTTATACCAATTGTCTATCAACTACTATATTCTATTCATTTTGAATTACAAAATAAAATGGTTAGATGCAGACATTGATATGGATAATAAAAGATTCCGAGAGAGTTCAACTCCCAAAGTAGACACGACAACAACCAAGACGGGAATGGTGTTGCCCTTTAAGCCTCTATCACTTGCTTTTGATCACGTGAATTACTACATCAACATGCCAATTGTAAATTCTAAACACCCTTAAACCTTAATCACCTTTGGTTATGATTCATTTTAGCATTGTTTTTCATCGCTTTCTTTTCCTACTTATAACATATCTTTGTTGTTTAACTACTTTTACATTTTAGTAATCCTCATATGTACGATGTCTTAACAATGTTTTCATATCAGGAAATGCAAAAACATGAAATTGAAGTGAGTCGGCTCCAATTACTAAGAGATATTAGTGGTGCTTTTAGGCCTGGAGTACTAACAGCATTAGTAGGTGTAACTGGTGCTGGAAAAACCACCTTGATGGATGTTCTAGCTGGAAGAAAAACTGGAGGTTATATTGAAGGAAGCATCAGCATATCTGGTTACCCAAAAAAACAAGAAACTTTTGCTCGAATTAGTGGATATTGTGAACAAAATGATATCCATTCTCCAAATATCACAGTGTATGAATCAGTTGTATTTTCTGCTTGGTTGCGTCTTGGTAATGAGGTCAAGTCAGAAATAAGAAAGGTGTGCTTTATTGAAATCAACCCTTATATTGAACTCCAACTCATTCTTTCTCCTGAACTTTTTCTCAATTTTTAAAAAACATTGTATCGGACATTTTCCATAATCTGGAACATGACAATGACCTTTGTTTTTAATGAACTCTTCATTCTTTAAGAGCATAGATATAGTCAAAACTATAGGTCCAAGTTTCATGATTTGACCAAGATGGATGTTGGTTATGTTCCAGAAAACAAAAACCTTGAAAAATGATTATCAGTAATGCATTAGTGGCTTTATTTTATTGCTATTATAGTTGAAATGTACATGTTATAGTGTTCTTGGATATTAGATAGCCACATATAGATTATATGTTGTTTATTTGGGGGAAAGCCACATATAACTATTGTCACATGTTTAGCGATATAAAACATGACTAATTGGCAAACCATACTATTTTACTAATCTCACAATTCTGACACCATGCTTTACTTAATAAAGTATGAAACTAAATTATCTTCATCATGTAATCGTTATAAAGAATAATTCTTAATCAACCTCTTGTATGGCAGATGTTTGTTGAGGAAGTTATGAACCTTGTTGAGCTGCATCCAGTGAGAAATTTTCTAGTAGGTCTTCCAGGCATAAATGGTTTATCAACTGAGCAAAGAAAGAGACTCACTATTGCTGTAGAATTAGTTGCCAATCCTTCTATCATCTTTATGGATGAGCCAACCTCAGGCCTTGATGCTAGAGCTGCAGCAATTGTTATGCGTACTGTCAGAAATACAGCAGATACAGGAAGAACTATTGTCTGCACAATTCATCAACCAAGCATTGACATATTTGAATCTTTTGATGAGGTATGACTTCACAAGATTTGGAAGATGAAATTATTATTTTCATGAGAACTACGAACACATAATTCTCACTTAACTTAATCTTTTCTTCAGCTACTTTTGATGAAGAGAGGAGGACAAATCATATATAATGGTCCCTTAGGTCAAAAATCTCATAAGCTTATAGAGTACTTTGAGGTGAGTATGACTTTTCTCTTCAAAGTGTATACATTCTCAAATTTAATAATCTTATATGTTATTTGCAGGCTATTCCAGGAGTTCCTAGAATCAAAGATGGTTATAATCCTGCCACATGGATTTTGGAGATCAGTTCTCCAATAGTTGAGGGTCAGCTTAGGGTAGACTTTGCAGAATTGTATACTAAGTCAGAATTGTATCAGTTAAGTATTAATTGAAGTTATATTCCTATAGTACGACCATTATTTCCCTTTTTTAAAAATGGAATTAGACATGGTATTCTCTTTTCATTTTTTACGTCAATTCTTTTCAGGAGGAATCAAGTTCTTATTAAAGAACTAAGCACACCTTTAGAAGGAACAAAGGACCTTGATTTCCCTACTAAATACTCTCAGTCCTTTGTTGCTCAATGTAAAGCATGCTTCTGGAAACAACACTTGTCCTATTGGAGGAATCCACAATATAATGTCATTCGATTCTTCATGTCAACATTTGTAGGTGTAATTCTTGGATTCATTTTTTGGAAAAAAGGAGATAAAACGTAAGTTCACATGTTCTCCTTCTGAGTATTGTACTTATTAGAAAAAACTAGTTTATCTTTTAATAAGGTGACCCAAGAGTACCATAGGTTCCTAGTAAGATAGTAATTGAACAAGTTAAGACTTTTTCATATTGGATGATACTTCATATTGAGATTTAGCAATTTGAGTGTATTGAGATTTAACAATTTAAGGATACAACAGGTCAACTCAGATATTGTTAGGAATCAATGTATGCTTAGTTACTTAATGCAATAATTACTATAGAACTGCAAAACCATCTACAAGAACCCTGGTTGATCTTCTTTTTTATTATTATTATTATTTTTTTTTTTTTGAAAAAGACATCAACAATAAATTTATTAACATAGAAAAAAGAAAATATGATGGTTGCTTTCACAATCATGAAAGGTGACTTTGCTGAGGATAAATCATTTTTTTTTACAGAGATACAGAGCAAGATCTAATGAATCTAATGGGAGCTATTTTTGCTTCTATTTTCCTTCTTGGAGGCTCCAACACTTCCTCTGTTCAACCTATAGTTGCAATAGAAAGAACAGTCTTCTATCGTGAAAAAGCAGCTGGAATGTACTCAGCTCTACCTTATGCAATTGCTCAGGTAAATGCAACTATCTTTTCACAGAAAAAAAAAAGGAAAAAGTAATTGATAATTGAATTCTCAATGAAAAAGAAAATTTATGTTATGAATAAACATTGTGTTGCAGGTGGCAATAGAATGTATTTATATTGCAATCCAGACATTCACCTTTACTTTTATCCTTTACTCAATGATGGGTTTTCTTTGGCAAGCTGACAAGTTCTTGTGGTTCTACTACTTCATGTTCATGTCATTTGTTTGCTTCACACTTTATGGCATGATGACAGTGGCTCTAACACCAAACCCCCAAATTGCTGCAATTATTATGTCCTTCTTCCTAGTGTTTTGGAATGTATTCTCAGGCTTCATTATCTTCAAATCGGTAAGTATAATATATAGTAATTAAATATATTCATATACAGGGAGGGAGTAAAAAAAAACAAATTGTACATTGACTTGCATTAAATTTAGTTCATACATTACACATTGAGCACACCTATTGAAATCCTTTTGCAATTCATTATAAAATTCAATTTGGATAAAGTTTTCAACAATCCCCTATAGGAGAAAAAAATTAAATACATTAAATTATGCATCTAGCAACTTTGGAAAAAAATTAAGTTGAGATCCATAAGATAATTTTAACTTATGAAATAAATTTGATTCATTTTACCTTCTTAATTTATTTAATTTTTTCTCCTGTAAGTATTATCGATAAATTTATCTAAAATAAATCTAAGTTGATAGTTAAGAATTTTCATGAAGACAATGACATTATGGCTCTTAATATTTAGATTTTCCATTTGTCATAGGTTTTACTAAGTTGATATGTACACTTTTAACTATAATTGAATTAGTCCAAAATTATTAAAAAAAATGATTTTATATAATTTAAAATTGTCAGACAAATTAACAACTTTAACTGAAATTTGATAATCAATGTAGGATTCCTTGAGTGATACAATATTTTTTTTTCTTTCACATCATTATTTGGACCATTATATGCAGTGTGACATCTACACAGCTCCATTCACATTCTCATAAAATAAAAAATATATATATTATTATCATCCATCTACTTTCCTTTTTTCTTCATTTCCACTTCATTTTCTTCCTATATAACCATTTTCTATCACATCATTTACTTCATCTATCACTTTCTCTGTTTTTTTTTCTCTTTACTTCATATCTCCATTGGACAAATATTATTACTTTAAAATAAATATGTTTGGGTGTTAAACATTTTTCTAAGAACAAAATTTAAGTGTAGTTGTTATTTTTCGTTGAAGTTTTACTTTAATATTATGCAAAAATATTTAATATGTGTCTCATTAATATATATTCACCTATATTATAAAAATAAAACTTTAACTCTAATTGAAAAACAGCACCAAACTATATTTAAGGAATTGTACCTAAGAATTTTTCTTTTCCTAACTCAAAAGAAGCAAGTGTTTACCGAAGAAGTTGTGGCACAAGAATGCACTTCTTTGATATTCTTCCAGAACACTCAATTATGTGCAAAATCAACTGAACTTTCGCATTACTTTTTGAAATTACAATTGATAAACATTATAATTTCTAAAATTGCAAAAAAAAAAAATCAAAATTACAAAAACAAAATTTTGAGCTGAAATTATCAATTGCTAGATTCTTTAATCCCTAATTCTAAAGTATGCTAATTTAATTTGATAATTATTAGTCATTTTTGTTCTTGACTTTGGTGTGGATCAGTCATTTTGATTTTTACATTGTAGACAAAATTACATAATGGAATGATGATTGTTGACTTCACATACCAAATTAACTGATTTAGTAGTGTTAAGGACTAAATTGACCGGTAGTACCAAATTTAAAGACCATGTTGGTCAAAACATGGAATAAAATTGTCTTTTAGTTACAAATTGATTGGTGGTGCTAAATTTAGAGACTAAAATGTTATTTTGTTTTTACTAAATTTCAAGTGCTTTAGCAACTTAAACAAATTATAACCATTGATTATATTTTATCTTTTTTTGAGAAAAATTATAACCATTGATTATTCTCACATTTGCAGCAAATTCCAATATGGTGGAGGTGGTATTACTGGGCATGTCCAACTGCTTGGAGTTTATATGGCCTAGTGACATCCCAGATTGGTGACAAAGATACTCCAGTTGTGGTGCCTGGATCAGGATCAATGTCAGTAAAAGCATTCCTTAAGAAATATATGGATTATGAATATGACTTCCTGGGGGTTGTTGTTGTGGCCCATATTGTATTTGTTGTATTGTTTCTTTTTGTTTTTGCTTATGGTATCAAGGTCTTTAATTTTCAAAAGAGATAAGTAACACTATAATAAATGAACAAAATAAACACAAAAAGAAAAATAAAAGAGTAAAGAAAGACATTTAGAGGTCTCTATAGAATATACAAGCAACATTATGATTGTTCATAATGTCTGGGATTTTCACTTGTATCTAGTTATTAGTCATTGTTCAACATTTGAAATTTGGCATAACATATCCTCCCAAGAACACAAAATTATAATGATTCTTGTGCATATTAATGTGAGAATATGAAGTATTTTTGTTTTAAAAAAATTAATGCTCATCCTATCCAAAAAAAAAAATATTATCCAATGAAAAAGAAAAAATGATTATTTATCCATATGATCTCCCTCTCTGAGTTAGAATTTTTGTTAGGTCAAGTATAGTATATTAGTCACGTTTTCATCCTTTCATTACTTCAAAACAAGGAAGGAAAATGAAAGATCCAATGTTTTTTATTTATATGATTTATCATTTTGTTCTTGATTAGATTCGAATTATAAGGTTTGGAAGAGTTTTTAATTTTTCATTTGTTAACAAATTCATGAAGAAATTTACACAAAGTCAGATGTTCAAAACCATTGCATAAGCCATGTATTAATAGTTGATTTGTTGAAATAAAAGAAAATTTGGGTATATGACAATTAGGTTAATATATATAATAACAAGAACATTTGTCTAAATAATTTTTTTTAAAGAAAATGTTAGCTTAATTATATTTATTTTTGGCCAATGATTATCAGTATGGATAACTTTGCGCAATCATAACAAATATATTTGTTCGGTGTGATTCCAAGTATGCGTAGGATGACCCAATGACCTAAGACCATGGAATAGATTATAGGCCTGTTTTAAGGGGGAAAAAAAGAAGTTTTATTTATTTATTTAAGAAGCAACTCTTATATGTTTTTTGAAAATATAATTTGTAGAAGTTTTTTAATTTTAAACAAATTAACCCTATGTCACTTTTTACAAGTTTTTTAAGATTCATTCTTCTAGAGGTTTCAGTGAGTTTATGCGTTGTTTCTTTTTCTTTATAACAATACACACATGGGAAACTAATCTCTTTAATGATTGTAAAATGAAGGGACCCCATTCCCTAGTCTTCTTAGATCATTAAAAAAAATCTCCATTCACCTAACAATTTGTTGGCCTTTCGAGTGGATCTCTAGTCTACAGGTAAATGTGCATCCAAGCTAATTTGCTATATGATCCCTAAAATACATTGTGAATCTTCCACTCTAAGTATAGATTATCTCATCAACTCTACCAAATTCTTATTGTAACTTGAATGTTCAAATTTACACGTGCTCCACTTCAGTAGTAGGAAGGGGCAAGGGCTCTCCACACATAAACCCAAGACACCACCTAGAAACATAGGATGGATCATGTCACATTAGGTCGTCATGAATGGTTGGACCAACTTAGTCTCGTTGTGAGAATTTTGTAAAGTTATTAACACATTATTTACAATAATAAAACAGAAACTTACTCAGAACGGGCATCGAAAACACCACCATCAGTGGCGGGTAGGGATGACAAATATATCCGTACCCGCAGGTAATACCCGAACCCGTCCTAACTTTGACGGGGAATACCCAGTTTGACCGGGTACAAGTACGGGTAAAACCCGATGTATTAAATCGGGTACGGGTACGGGTACGGGTATGTACTTACCCACCCCGTACCCGTACTCGTACCCGTCCCTGTTTCCATTTTTAATTTAATACCACTTTCAATTTAATTATATTAAAGAATTTTAGTATTTTTTTATGTGTGATTATTTATTATAATATGAGATAAAGAAATAACCTAATTATAGTTATAATATAATTAAAAATAATAATTTATAAATATTATATTTTTAAAAAAAAAATAAAAAATAAAAAATTTGACGGGTACGAGTATACCCGATACCTGACGGAGACGGGGATGAGAATGAAAATCACGTACCCGACAGGTACGTATACGAGGACAGGATGAATTTGGCTCGCGAGGACGGGGACGGGGATCATGAAACCCGTACCCGCCGTTGCCATCCCTAGGGTATAATTTCTATTACATCGAGGTAACAGTGCTAAAGTTTATATATTGTGTATTTTGCTATTAAGATCTTTATATGAATTGGGGGCTTAAAAACCAAAATTTAATGTAACCGAAAGCCAATGAAAATCTGAATCCTTCGTGCATATTTGGTTTAATTTGACTTAATCAGAGTTTACAAGCGCTGAAAATTATATCATTATAATAAACTGATCTAAATATTATATAATTTTAAAAATGTCAAGCAGAAACTAATAAACTAGGTAAAATTTATTCATAAAAAAAAAATTGACAGCTTTAATGAACAATAAACAAAAGGCTAAAATGTCATTACAAAAGCTCACTTCTGCATAAGTCAAATTCAGAAACTGATAGAGTACTTAAATGAAATTCCAGTTCCTGAACTATATACACGACATAAACTACTACTAATAGAAGCGACGAAAGAAAAAACAGATTAAGCAATTAGATTTAGAACAACCAATTCTAAGCATCATGACCATGTATCAAATCACAACGTAACTACAGCTTCTCATGAGTTTTAACAGGAGCTTTATCCAGGTCATCAATCTCCTTTCTACTCTTTACCATGCTCCATTTCTTACTATTGAAATCTAGTTTGTCAAAGTCATCTGCAATTCCCATGTAACCATAAAGAATATTCTCCACTTTGTTTCCCTCATCTGTCTTTCCTATGTTACAGCTCTTAATACTTTCAGATTTTAGTCTCTCGTATTCAGCCCTACCGCGATTTTTGTCAGAAAGATATTTATGAAGCCTCTCTGCATCTCTCAGCCCACCAAACGTGCCCAGAAATTTCACCAATACAATACTTTGGTCTGCAGGCTTCCCTAGGCATAACTTGATTCTTCCTCTCACAAAACCTTCGCCTGAAATTTATTATAAAAAAAAAAGATTGCACAGTTTAACAAGACAACAATTAATTAGTAAATTTCAAGGAGGAATAAGAGTTTCATTTAGTATAAAATTAACACACAATTATGCTAAACATGCATATTTCAGGGGATGCTTTATGCATATAATCAAAACTAAAACATAAAACTAACTGAATAACATTTGGTTCATTATAAATTCTGTTTAAGTTGAATAATTACTATTGCATAGTATCACAACATCCAAACAGAAACTCACCTCTTAAAAATGCCTCAATTGTTTCCATGCTTACAACCTTCCAGTTTTGCGGATTGTCATCAGACATGGATATGTTATGGATGATAATAATAGGAGGCCAAAGAATCAAATCCTCTTTTTGAGCCAAAGCTTCAGCATGAGGCAAGACCTGGGGAACCCAAGTTACTGTGTCTTGAGGAACAATAGTATCCCATCCCATAAGAACACAAATTGCTTTGTGAAGACCCAAGTGCTTTGCTCTCAACCCAGCCTTATGGGACATAAAAGCATGAGTTACCAGGCGTTGAGTGTCCATGAATTCTTTTGAGGAACTGTTACCATTAAGAAAGATAAATGGGACAAATAAACATGTTAAGAGTTGTACTACATATAAATCACACTTCATCTCGAAAAAATAAAACTTACTGGTAAGTTGTACATTATGAATTTTTTTCAAGCATAAAAGAGTATAGAAAGAATTCAAGAAGACAGCAATAAACAATTTATAATGAAACCAAGGAAGAAAATGGTAAACATTAAAGTAAACTAACATATGGGGTAATATTAAAATTAATAAAAGAAGCCAATCAGAAAAAAAAAATTATAAAATAAAATAAAGAACACCCTAGAATATCATTCTCTCTAGCAGGTATCTGAAAGAGCCTCAAAATCATCGATTAATATGCATGAACATGTAACATATCACTTGGGTGCCACCATCTCCCTAAGAGTGCCTAAGCATTGATTTTTTCAATCATAAATTCCCTAAAACATTAAAGAAGTTATATGGACTAATGCCTACAAGAAAAATTATTATATACAATTAAATCCCAAGGTCCTATGTAAACAAGAAAAATTATTATATAATCCCAAGGTCCTATGTAAACGCCTGAAGCCTTCCTCTAAAATCTAAATCCCAAAAATCACAGTCACAGTTGTATCAGAAAAATCAATTTTCACTACCAACAGTCCACCAAGGTCTACAATTTTAACCTACTAGTGTCTCCTATCATTACTATATCATTGCAGGCGAGAACAATCCACTGTGGTTGTCAATGTTAGTTAATAATTCAAAATCATTCACCCTTCGAAGAAGTCAATCTTCACTAGTTTATCATAGCTATCTTCCTCTTTCTTCCTAAATATAATTAATATGCACTTTCATGAGCATCCAAAGGCTAAAATAATTACTTTTTAAGTATTTACATTTTAAAAAATACAACTAGACATTGGCTCCAGCAAAAGTTTTAAGTTAATTTCAAAATCATGCAACAACAGTAAATTTAAATATAACTTTCATCATCATTCAAAAGCAAAGTCACAAGTTGAGCTAGCTTGAGACTCATGTTCATCTCCAAGGCAGTTTACATGTTTATGTGTTTGATACTATTGACATGGAATTGGTGCCATCAAACTGTCCACGCATCTGTCTTAATAAAATACCACAATTATAGATACCAACATGTTTACTTCCGAAGTTTGAGAACTTAAAACATGATCCAGGAATAATTTGCACATGTACTTTGACTCCACTGTGAGTTAAATTCTATTCTAGGGGACTCCTTATTCAATATGTGAACAGAAGTACTCCATTTAATAAAAGATCACAGAAAAGAAAACAGACCTTCTGCCACATACGATGCAGTACAAACTACCATTTTTTCCGTGGTCCTGGTACCTTTTTTGCACATATAAGTTCAGATTCAACTTCTTGGAGTACATTAAGAAATTTTCATGTACCATTTGATTAAACTCTTCAGAGCCCTCAGTTGGCTCAGATTCTGCAGCATTTATCCAATCTTCAGATGATTCATCATTAGTTGCATGTTTATTCTCATCATATTCATGATATTTTTTCCAAACTTTAGGTTGCTTTTGAATTGCATTTCTCTTAGAAAAATGCTGGGACTTAAACCAGTTTGAAGAACTGGACTTTGAATGATGCTTTATATTCTGATTCGAATACTTCTGAGATTGAAATGAATGCCTTTGTACATGTCCCATAGAATTTTGAGGTAAAATCCATTCATCACACGGAAAATCATCTTCATTCTCCAACTCATATTCTTTCTTATACTTCCTATATATCTTAGGGTTAAATTCAACATTACCAGATGAATACATATCTTCTTCATCTATCCAGTCTTCACTTTCATATACACCTTGAAATTCTTCATTTGCACCCCATTTGCTTGGTTTTATTGCTCTCAAATCATGCACATCTATTTCATCATTGACATTGTATTTTCTTTTCAGAAGTCTGTCAGAATGGTCGTGAATGCCAACATTCTGTCTAGTTTCTTTCCCCCTATAGGTTTCTGAATTATGTTTAGACAAAGGTGAAGTTTGAAACCTTTCTTGCTGAAGCACCGGACCACCATCTCTTCCAGATTCATATTCTGTTCTTAAAACTGGTAATCGATTGGCCTCAGATACACCCATATGTGAAACTTGTGGCATTCTTTTCCCATTTTCAAGATGATTATATCCAGATTGCAAATAAGCTTCATCTTGCATCGATGCAATTGATGTTCTTCTTACATCATGATAATCAAGATACTTTGATCTCTGTAATGTAGGGTGGTCATGTACAATAGCCCTTCTTTGACTACCATAAGAATCTTCCGTCTTACCAGTTCTATCTAAATCTGGATGTGAAATATAAGGTTTGGAAAACTCCCTATTATCATAGTCATTTACAGCTCGCTCATAGTTCAATCGACCATGAGGAGCTATCCTTCTAGGTAAATCATCATAATATAAATGCTCATCATGTGCTGCTCTTACCTGTAATTTGTAATTAAGATAGTCCAAATGATCAGCTCTGGTAGGACTAAACTCACGTTGTTGGTGACATGTCATATTCCTTGGCCCAATTTCAGAACCTCTAGCGGTGTCTATAACTGTCCTTTGCCCATGTCCACTAAACCCTACAGGTTCCGCAAGTTTTCCACTATTCCGTGATAAATCATAAGATGCAGGTAAATAGATGTCGTCACCATGTGAGCATAGAAAATTGCCCCTTGACATTTCTATAGAGGAGCCGCCTCCATAATCCCTCATGTGAGAAGTGCCCGCAAAATCCTTTGCATAAGAGGGAGATACACTCGAATAAGAAACATCCCTAGCATGAAGAATATTTTTTTCCACCCCACCATGAGATTCTGTGGCGGGCATCTTATCCATAGGTGGTGGAGGGTCTCTATGCTGTAGTCTCTCATGCTCAAACCTCCCCACCGGGATACCCCTTGGGGGAGGCAAGTGCCCATGCCCACCAACTTCTTGGTTTCGCATTGTGACACCCATATCTGGAATAGACCTATATCTATAGTAACCTCCTACTTCGTTTTCAACGCGTATTACAAACTTCTGATCCATAATATCCTGCCGACCACCCAACCTGTCCTCAATCAAGTCCTTCTCTCTATCAAGGTAAACTCGCTTTGCATCCAAGTTTCCATCTATGCTTTTTGACAAATCGTATCTTGCTCTTAAGCCTGGTGGTGGTGGTGAACAACTTCTACGGCCAATCCCATCATCAAAGTGTGATTTTTTCCTCACTGGTTCAGCAA